AACTGAGATAAATCTGTACAAGGATCTTGACTGCAGACAGCATGCTATGGTAGATGTATCCTTTTAGGCAGTTTATAACTAATAGGGGTATGGTGGGTTGGGTATAAATTCAGAGTAAACTACTCATGTCCAAACCCTGGATCCACCCCTGGGCCATGTGTTATATAACTCTCTGGGTTAATTTTGTCACCCTCCTTAAATAAAGTTTATTGTATTGTATTGTATTTGTGGAGAGATTAACCAGAAAAAAGCCTCATATCAAGGAAAAGGAAAAGTCCTCAAAGTCCTCAATATAAACTTTATCACTTGATACCAAGATGAAAGAGCACATTGATATTTTAATAACAAGGTAAAGTTTCATCTCATAGACATATACAGTACAGCCCAGATGTTTGTCACAGTGTCCTGGCATGTAATTTGGATGGACTTGCGTTAATTCATTACACGCAAAAACGTGTAAACAGTCCTTTGAGACAAGGATGCACTACAAGCGTTTGAGTGTAATTTTCTTTTATTTTGTTTCAAAATATTGCGAAAACCTGTTGGAAGTTCTACTCACATAAATTTATTTGCTCCAGCTATTTTTTCTGTCACTTTTTTTTCGGTTGAGGAGGAGGCAAGTCTCACTGGGGATTTCCTGGACAATGACGCAGCAACTGGTTCTTGCTTCAGTTTTGTATCAGTTGCTTTCTTACGACTTCAAGATAAGAAAAGGATGTCGTCAAAATGCCACCACTATGCAACTAAAATTTACCATTCAATTCCCATGCCATGTTCAGTAGATCCATCCACTTTGCAACTGTTTTTTTCCCCATTTCATACCCACTGAGTATATCTTTTATTAATATGTGATATAACAGAGTAAAAATTTATTTAAATGCCTCTTGAAAAGAGAAAATATTTTTGCCCAAACTCATTGGAGATAGCAATTTTTTTATTCCATAACGATAGATTGGAATGTGAAGAATAGAACATTAGTGATTTAGTGGGATATGAATATATTAAAAAACAAAAGAAGATCACTGAAGCTGAACTTTTTCTTTTGTCTTTTAATGTATTCCTTTCTCACTAAATTACTAACGCTCTAATATCGTACGACAACGTTCTTGCAAGTACGTGTAGCACCTTATAATAAATTATGCATTTATAAAATAAAATCGATGTTTTACCTCCTAAGGGAGCTCTTCTTCTCTCCAGATATCAAGCAGAGGTCAAGGTGACTGTTAACAGTATTTGAACTAATCATCTCTCCACAGACAGGGCATTCAACTAATTAAAAACAACCATAAGAACATAAAGACATGAACGCACATTTCATATTACCTATGTTAAAAATGCCACTACACATTATTGACTTTCGCAGCTTTGAGGAGCATATGCCATCTATGCTTGCAGGCTAGAACTACAGTATCCTTCTAATAGTTGACAACAATTTTTAAAATCTTCAAATGTTATTGATACCCTCAAACAGCCTTCGGGCTTATCAAAGGCAGAGCATAATAAGCTGGAAAAGTTGAATTCAGTATGCTATCACAAGGACATGCTAGCAGGCCTGTCACGTTCCAGCAGTCGTCAATTTATCACAGCCAGTCTTACATCTGGAAAAAAATATTAAAAACTGAGAATAGATACCAAAAGACGTAGGGGCTTCTGCATCATCTGTAGATTGCGAAGTATTTGTGGGTGATTTCATTGGGTCAATCTCCATTGCTTGTGGCTTCTTTACATCTTCATTATCATTGTCGTCACTGTCTGAACTTAAAAGTTTTTGTCTTTTTCTTTTAGTCCTTGGAGTAAGATGAGGTGATTTTCCCTATGTAAGGAATTAAATATATACTAAATATAATTATAGAAATAATGCAGCTACCTATTAATCATGAACCCACCTATTTTCATAATTCCCTTAAACTACCCCAAAACCAATAAAACCACACGTATTACTTTATTTGGCCAAAAAAGGAGAGGTTCATTGAGACAACAACCAAGAACACAGCTAAAAACTAGCTAAGGGAATAGGCTAAATAAATTTCTCCGCCCACAATCTTGAACAAAACAGAATTACATAAATGACAGCAATGGGTTTTTTTTATGACTTCTCTCTTGCTCTACAGCTCCCACAATTTTGTTTAAAACACAGTGTTACATTAACACGTGGACTGTTTTATATTCCTAACATGTAGCTTATAAATCTCAAATACTTTTCACAGTACCTTTTTTGTCTTAGTTTTAAGATTCATTCTCATTCGTCTGGGTGTAATTTCAAAATTACTGGCACTATCATCAGACATCTCTATATTTTCTTTTTTTTCTGGTACACTCTGTACTAATGCTTTTCTGATTATATCTAAAAGTTTTGGCCTGCAAAAAAGACAAGAAATTATTGCTAGAGATTACTGTTGCTCCTACTCCGAACTGTGAACACTCCAGTTTGTCATCGAATCAGATGTATCGAAAGTCTATAAAATCTATTCAAGGAGATCAAGTGATGCAAGAGAAAGAAAAAATAAAAGTATATTTACAAACAAAAAATAAAAAATAGAATAAACTGGAGTGTTCATGGTTATAGTAGAATGACAATAAGTTAAGCATGAGAGAAGAATTATGATTAATAATGGCAAAACACAATAGAAGCATGACTTTTAGCAGAGTGTTTTGGACACATAATAAATAATGAAATAGAAAGTGTGAGTGCTTGTTGTGTGCTCTCAAAATGCACATGCTCCCAACCAATTAGAATGTAAATTATAACAGTTATTTTATAATTTATATTATGAACATCATGATTATGCCCTTTCTACTAGAAGGGATTGACGTACCTGACATTAACAAAATTTTTAACCAGTTCGTCTAAGACCCTGTTACATTTTAAATCATTGCCAGACGTTTTCTGCAAAAAAAGTGAAAATAACTCTATTAGACTGTCTTATCGTATGATACGGCATAAGGATAAGTATGCATGAAAGTGAGGCATGGTATTCGAATTGAGGGTTTTCCATGTTGTTTTCAATCACGTTGAATTGGCTGTGGTAACTGACCTCAAAACATGTAGGACATTGTGGGTCATAAACCATTGCTCGGCGAATGCATAGGGAACAATCTAAAAATAAAAGCATAATACTATACTGATAAGTTACATAATTTTTTGAATAATTGACATATACTTCCACTTTGAGTTTGCCTTAGCTCAGACTGTGTATGAATGTGTTCTTTCCTTTTATTATAAAGGTCCATTGTATAGTATAAAGGAATGTACGTGCAATGGAACAAGGGAGTTGATTATAATGCCACAGAAGTTTTGGTCGAATAACTGAATACAATGCACAACCAAAGCTAAGGCTGTGAGCAAGAGAGAACTCGAAACTGGAGTATTAAACATGATATCGTTATTGCTGATTATTATGATCAGGAGAATTATAGATTATCCTTTTAATAACAAAATCAAAAATCAATAACCTTTGATTATCCCTAATAATCCAACAAATGAAAATAGGTCATTTACAGCTGTATACTCACAATTATGTGAACATTCCTGGAACAAGACAGCAGTATCAAAGTACTCGTAGCAAATAGAACATCGTAGTAGGTTGTCTATTCTCTATTTAAAAAAGTTTAGAAAAGACTTCAGATTATTTTTGGGAATATTTTGGGTAAATATAGCAACACGTCCAAAGAAATTCGAAATACCCGTAATTCTTGCAGCGATTCTGGCCAATCACTTGGGCTCCAGTCAGCTTGATGTGTTGGAGCCATATTCTACCAGTAGAAGATCTATAAATTATTGCCTGAAATTAGGCTTACATTTAATCAAAAACATTTAAAAAATGAAATCAAAACACTTCAGCCATTTCCAATAATCCTAGCTGGCAAAAAACGCGGGACAAATTTTTGAGTCTTGTGATTGGTTTCTTATATCATCTATTTCCATTGGTCTAAACCCGTAACCAATCAGAATCCTTGATATACTGGCAGCTGAGTCTTGCGTCATAGGAAAACGTGCGAATTTTTATCATGGAGGAATATGCCAGAGAACCTTGGTAAAAATACATTTTTCTTACAATTGATTATGTTTTACTTTAAGTTTAATTGCATAGGAGGAAAAAGTATTTATTATTCTTCCTTTTGGTTAAATTCCAGCCCGTACCGTATCGTGGATGATTGTGGAGGAGCGTTCGCAATGGGTGCCATTGGAGGTGGAATCTTTTCGCTTGTCAAGGGATGGAGAAACTCGCCAGTCGTACGTATTGAAATACTTATTTATCGACTTAATCTTTCATTTAATATGTCCTAGAAAATGTTTCAAATACTTCAGTTATGTTAATTACATTCTAAGAAGTTCGTGAGCTAAGACTTAAGTTTATAAGAATACATAAGCTTCTGATTCAATGGTGGTCGTCACTGTTTCGCAGAACACATGAAAAACTATTGCGATCCGGCGTTCGATAGCAAATAAAGTAAGCTTTTACCTCGTATGAGGAAGTCATTAGTAACGTGTCTGGTTAATATATTATTTAATTTTTGACTATGGTAGCCCGGATATAAATGAAGGCCTCTGTTCAGCGGCTTCCCCGTGGGGTCGACCCCCAGGCAATCTCGTACCCAGAGCCCTTATTTMTTACTGCGCGTGCTCGACGAAATAATTGGGCTCTGGAAAACTCCAAACCGGAAGACCCAGATTCTGGGTTTCTCACACATGCGCATTATGACAGACTAGGTGAGTTCAAAATGGCGGACGTCGTTCAACGAGCATGTGAATTTGCGYTTGAAAAATTAGGTTTTGAAGATGGTTTTCAGTTAAATTAACTCCGAAAATATCTATTGCATGGACATCAATGCAATTTCCATTACAAAACTGGCAAAACTTTGAAAAATCTGGCCCTACAGGCTTTTTTGGTGTACTTAATTCGAGACACCATCTTGTTTATTTTCCCTAGTACTGTAATTTTTACTTCCGGTATATTCCTTTGTTCTCGAGAACCAAGCACAGCACAGGAAATATTGGAGTTTTCCAGAGCCCAATTATTTCGTCGAGCATGCGCARTAAGAAATAAGGGCTCTGGGTACGAAATTGAACCCCAGGCTGACCGGGGAGATCGTAAAAATTCATAAACAATGTTGATCATTTTTCCCAGGGGTAGGGAAGTTGTTCTTTTTAATGTCCCCTGGTCRAGGAATTCAGTGACCTACAATCTCCCTCATTTTGGTTGAAATTATTGTTATTGTATTTTGAAAACTGAACTCAAC